AAAATGAAGCGTAAACATGAACAAAACGTAGATCAAAATATTATGATTTTGCATGCAATACGAACACCGTGACAGAAAAACAAGTCATTGTCATTGACGTTGTCCTCGTTTGTATTATAGTCGATATACACATATATAATGTGTTAAGTTTAAACTTGATTGGTCGAGGCATATACGAGATATGGCTCCAATGAACTGCATTGGTTCAAACAAGATGACCGCCAATCGAATATTTTGGATTTGATGGCGACAAAAATGCATGTACGTTTGTTCGATATGGTATGTGACGCATGTGTGAAATTTGAAGACGGATGCGACCAGTCAAGTCAAAATCTCAATGCAAGTCAAAATTTCAATTTCAATTCAAGGGAACTTTTGAATACAAATACAATCAAAATTTCAATTAAAGTCAAAATTTCAGTGTAAATGCAAAATTAAATCAAATTTTGAATGCAAATACCTGTACGGTAAATGAAAAACCTTAGTGGTGACCCTTCTCAGTTGCCGTCAATAAATAATGAAAACTCAGTTATCAACCCTTCCATGTCAATAGTTTTCTGAATGACATGGGTAATATTTTCAAAGTGCCTGTTTTATATTCCATTAACACGAATTAATAAACACACCATTTCCTTTGTATCAAAATGCAAATTCACCAAGCTTTATTACACAAAAAAGCTTCATTCGAAATCGATATTTCCGACATTAAAAGTGCGTTCGCTCACAATAATCGGCGTTCATTACTTATACAACATACCTCCTTAATAATATAAATATCATCTGTAACATTATGTGGTGGTGAGGCTGGGATTTCCATGAACTGCACTTGAAATGTTACTGTACTCGGATTCAGTTGCTATGGTTACACACATGCCAATTCAAGTTCGTCTACGTTCCAGTTGCCGATGGACGCAAAGTTAACATGTAAATCGGTCCTTATGACGTGTATCAATTGCAGCAATATGAATAGTGCAGTGTGACACAAAACAGCAGTTCGGTTATTTTTAAGGAAATTGACAAACGCTTGACTTTACATTCAAGAATGATATGCTCATTAAAATATAATTATAACGATGCGCATGCGCGGCATATTCACCGCACGAACAAGAATTCAGGGACTGGAAACAGCTATAATTTCGCGAGACACATTTTCGCGAGTAGGTGGGAATCGTTAAATATTCTAGCATTGAAAATGTCTCTGGGATCTACGACACGAAGAGGGACAATGTGGGTACTCTTTACACCTCCATTAAGTTTTGTCGGATATGATATATCACTTGTAAAAATAAAATCACTCAACAGCACTAATATCTACGCAAGGCCTCAATCATTTGTCATGTATCAATTGCCGGATAGTATTATCGTGTTTGCGAGTCGATCTATCGTCCAAGCCTACAAGTCATCTCTCAGTCCATATTGGACCTGACCATAAAATTTACCTACTGTGACCACATCCACTCACGTACAGCATATACGACATTTTAATGTATATGTATGAGGTTGAATTGCCCATTGCATCGAGAATTTTCCACGCAAATGTTGCATGACAAGTCAAATAAATTGACATGGAATTTGAAGAACAGTTGAAAATTGATGAGGTAAGGTTATTGCGACGTTCGTTTGTTGTTGGGGAGACGGTGGTATTCTCTCCAACCTAGTCAGCGTCTCACGGTCCCATTGGAAAAACGAACGACAGGATGAGAGGGTGAGTACACGTGAAGTTTTCTCACAGACACAGCAAGACTTTGCCGTCGATCCCGGGCGCAGCTTCTTAAAACTATCGCCGACTTCAGTCCAAACATTCTTATCAACGTGGTAAATGAAAGCTTGTCGACGGAAGTCAGTCACTAAAAATCGTCTACGGCCCTCTTCCACGTCAACTGGGAGCACCCAGCAAGATGTATTGACGTCACATCCGGGAGGTAGCGGTGCTAAGTCTATCCAAGTGTCAGTTTCTGGGTTGTAACAGCAAAGCGTGCCAGTCGAGGAGTCCGTGTAGTCGACAGAAGAATCCCATCCTCCGACTATGTACACACGGTTATTAGATGTGAATGCTAAAGTATCGCATCTTGCTGCAGGCAGAGGGCGCTTATTTGTCCAGACATCACTCTGTATATTATAACACTGCACATCGCGACAGACAGTATGTTCGGCAAGACCACCAATGACGTAAAGGTGGCCACTATTACATGCAGCAAAACTGTGCCTCTGAACTGCTGTGTTCATTGGCGATAATATTTTCCAGGAGTTTAACATAGGATCATAGCAGAAAAGAGTACTTCGGACAGTACTCGACTTCCCTCTTTTCACCAGACCCCCACACACATATACTTTTCCAGCGTGACAGACTGCTGCAGCACCAAACACTGCTTCGGGTAAATCAGCCAAGGCTATCCACCGACGCTGTTCTAACACGTTTGCGTACATGTGATTTGATTCAACTGAATAGTTTGTGCCGCCACAGACTGCCAACACATCGACTAGCCTGCCACGCCGCGCTCTTTTCACTCCTTGAGAATCGACAGACGAATCACCCGTACGCTCTTTATTGGATGTGTACAACAACTTATCATCAATCAATGAACGGAGCTCTGGATTTCCTTCCATTAGTAAGTCCAGTGGTTTCTTTTGAATGCTCTTAAAACGCACGCATCGTTTCAAAAGTTCAGGCGCGAACGCTGTCCTAATTTCTGGGTCATATTCAACCCATTTGAATACGGCTTTCAATACACTCTCTTCTCCGCATACAATGTCACCATCTTTCACGATTTCAACAATATTCAAGTCATCCTCGAGGAATTCCAGTAATTGTCCGTATGACAAAGGCAGATACGTGTCAGTTGATAGAATTTCATAACAATGATTTCTAAAATATTCCTTTGCTGCGGTACTCAGCGCTTTGATGTTGAACTTGTCCCCTAAGCTTTTTGCAACAAAACAGTTAGTGTTTGTTAATGTTACGTTTTCTTGCAGATAAGCCGTGCAAAACGATCGTACCTCTTCCATTCCAAAGTAGTCGGATCCTTGCAATATGTCTTCGACATCAATTTCAGAGAATGCGATTACACCAGTGTACATGTACTGCAGAAGCGCAGACATTGCGTTAGGGGCAATGTACGTCAAGTCAATGACCCCATAACGAGTCTCCGTCAACCCGCTTTTGAAAGCAGCTTCGAAATATGGACTGCACGCTGAAAGAACCGCTCGATGGGCGAACCATTCCTTTTCCTGTATCCTCAAGGTTGCGTCACAGAACACTCTGCATTTCCTCTGTTCTTGTAGCTTCTTTAAAACGCCGGTTGCATAATCAGTGGTAGTGAATTGCCGCGAACCTACACACAGAGTCGCCATCTTTTGTATGCAGGTATGTTATTTCTCTGCTCAAATCATTCACGTGGCGGAAAGGGTCACGTTCGGTAGTGTGTATTTCAGATACTCGTTGTACGGCCGGGGTGTCCAGAGGTGCTCCATGTATTAATGTGTGATAGTTCTAATACATTGCAGTGTATTTCATATAACAAAACACGCAAACTTAAATCATACGATACGACGACGTCACAGGTATTGAGAGGAAGTGAATTATTAAATATTATTATTATTATTATCATTATTATAGTTCTTGCCCCTCTTCAGCTGTTGCGTCGTGATTGGTTTCTTCCATGGGCAATAACCAGATTTGCATTCTCTTCTATGTAGGCCGATGACTCTTGCCATAGATAACCGCAGATAACCTTCGAAGACATTGTTTAATATTATACACGTGTAAAGACAACCACTAAATAAGCAGGACGTTAATATGCGTTTACAGTTGTATTAAACGCCCACTTTGGCTCAACATCTTGTCATAGTGGGTGAGGGGGTATATTTTGAATACTTATTACATTGAATGCCCGGAGGGCAGTTGATACATAGCTGGGTAGGGAGGTGCCCCTGAGTGCTCAAAAGTGTGACCATTTTTATAGCTGGATAGTTGCAAAATCTATACCCATATTTATAGCAAAGTACCATTTCTGTCATCACCGTTTATTCCAAATAAAAACAGTTACCGTATTTTCTCTATTAAAAGAGCATCTCTAATAAAAGCACATGTAAGCCAACAGTTGCCTTGTATATTGATTTATTAAAATATGTATTTTGACCATAGAAACATAACTGATACCGATATTTATATCTATCTTGACTAGAAATAAGACCGATACTTATACCTAAAATCAAAAAAACGAGTCTCATTTCAGAGGTACGTCCCCATTAGGCAAGTTCTATGTATTGCCCCCCCCCCCCACCTTGGTTGAATGCACGTGTTGGCACAGTACCTTCAATCGAATCTGCGGTATTACGCGATGAGTTGATTCAAGTTTTATATAAAATAATGCGCGTTATAAACGATATAGCAACGCCCTTTGTCTGTATGTACGGGGCGAGATTTGTCATTGTTAGTTTGTATGTATTTCTTCTCTTATTCTATGGGTAAAATATGGGTTTTGTTCAAGGATTGATAGAAAATACAACTACTAGTTGAGCAACGGAAATACAGATCTAGAATGTTTTACAGACAGGTGGTACATCAATGAAGCCATTGTTAGATATGATGGTGAACAGCTAATTTATGCAAGATGTATCATATAAGTACAAACATTATAAGGATTTTTCCAAATTCAACAGTTGCTATACTTAGTGCATTATGTAAGTCATTAACAATATACTCACAATTTTTAAAATGAATTTATCTGAATGTTAATTTAGAAGTGATGCTCACCTGTATTTTATCGATTTATGTATAACGACAATGTGTCTTTTAATAAATGTTCCATTTAAAAATTAAAATCTTCTATGGGTAAAATTAACACAGATATGGGTTTTCTAAAGGGTAGATGTCTACGATAAAATTGCAGTGATTATTTCTGATACGTGAAAAGATTCAACACTGAGTAGTGGAAGAAGATTGGTGACAAGTAACTCAGCTCTTAGTCTGTACAGCATAATTCTTTAAGTAAATATAAAACGAAGTAGCAATAATGAAATAATAATAATAATAATAATAATAATAATAATAATAATAATAATAATAATAATAATAATAATAATAATAATAATAATAATAATAATGCGGTGTGATGATCATGGTACGTTTGTATTCACGAACGAAACAAAATCACGCCCTCGGTGCATGGTGATTGTAAAAGAAGATATAGAGATTTATTTTATTCTTATGACTTGACGATGGAGAGAAGTGCAGCTGGGTATGGTCGTATGCTGTAGTAATGAATGAAATGAATGCAACCATTGCCAGCGACAAATAGTTATGTACTGCTGCAAACAATAATTGTTTTTTCGAATCTTCTTTGCAGTCCTTGTACACGATGACTCGTAATAAATATACCATAACAGCAAATGAATATAATTTCGAAATAGCAATTATTATCATTATATGCGTATATATTTCCATGTTTCGGTCAAATAACAGATCGAAGAATGAGGGCGTGATTTCGGCACGAGCCGAGTGGGTCCAAAGTAGGTCCCGACTAACGTGAACGTAGCTGCTGTAATCCTTCTGTAAACACAAAGGATTATAATTTTCATGCCGAGATCCCATAACGTGAATGTAGCATGTGTCAATGACCGGCCGTTGAGTAGGTGTTAATGGACGATCATTATCTGTGTTTTATATCGGTAGCTATGGTTGAATGTTTATCAAATGCAGGTGCCGAATTTATTGAGGGTTATTTTACAACCAAGTAACACTGTTGATTATCTAGTTTATCCGGCAGTAAAACACTGCCTGATTTGGTCGGAAATTGTAGCAAAATCCCCCTATTTACAGTGATGTTTGATGAACTATATGTGTTGCCTTTGTACAATATTTGATTTGAAAACCGTGACAAAAACGCATATTAAAATCTTTATCACAAAAATCGGACACAAAACCCGGTAAAAACACAGAAAAAATATCTTCGCTGACAGTTCATTGCCCGGGGTTCACTGTCCAAAAAACATATACTGTATTAAAAATCTTTATTACAAAAATCGAACATAAAACCCGGTCAAAAAACATAAAAAATATCTTCACTGATAGTTCTCTGGCGGTCATTCACTGTCCAACATTTAACGTAAACACGTTCATCCGTATTTTATTATATTCAGAGTGCATCCGAATATACACCTGTATTGCAACATTTTCAATGTTCAGTGTACTTTGGCAGTTCACGGCCAAGAGGTCCATGTTGCTGATGAGGTTAGATGCGTGAACTTCGCGGGATTTGGGAGCTCAGCTTCCTTGACAGGCTACACTTAAACTTTAAGACACTGAGTGAATTGACTCAAAGAACGCAGGTTCCTCACATATAGTTCAATTGTATTACTAACCGACTCACCCCATCGTTATCACTCACTGAATCTATTTCTATGCAAATTTACAATTCGTTGCCGTGTACACGTCATCGGTCAATGACTGCAAGTCACTGGACATGATTACGAGATTACCAGCTCGCCAAACTTCTGGGAATAAATAATATAGACGATATATTTATAAACTACATGCTTATAATACTGCATAATATACGACCCAAATTAGGGCTAGTGACAATAAATGACCATATAATATTAGCCAGGGCGCCTAAGTGCTTCCGTTCTACAATTATATGTATAAAGGTACAAAGGTTTTAAAAGATGATATAGAGATTCTGACTCGTTATGGCAGCTAGGCACTCAACATGGGCAGTTTAATCAGTCAATAGTCAGTGGCAGCGGTACAGGGGGAATCTACAATCTGAGAGTAGCCGCATCCCTTCTGATGCATTGTGTCATTGTGTTGAATGCACTACTACACTCGTGTGTTTATAAATTCCGGTCTATATCATAATGGTTTCCAAATAACGTTAATGACCGATTATCACATTAATTCTGAATCTACTCATTACATTAATCAGAAATGTTTGTAACATGACTGATAATAACATTTTGTTTTATTGCCCAATAAAGAAAAAGAAACAAAGCAAATAATGACAAAAAGAAAAGTACACGAAAACTACGACTGGTATACAGTGGTGAGACAAAAAATGAATTTCTTGTATTAAACCAACCAATCATTTGAGAGCTCCCATTTACCTTAGTGATATTGTTTCCTTTCCTTTATATAGGGCTATTTCCAACTCTATTTTCTTATTTTCACGGACTAGTGATTTAAACGCATTTGCAGAAGGAACTGTAGCACATCTTCTACAACTATAGGTATACTTTTTGAACAGTAAAATGAAGTGGTTCAAAATTAGATTGTCATCATTTAAAATACCTAAAATTACATGTACTATATTAAACTTTATTTGTTGAATAATGCTACTCTCCGTCTGCAATGCGATGGTTCTTACTATCAGTTTAATACACACACACACACACACACACACACACACACACACACACACTGCAAAACCTTGACACACGAGAGTCGCACAAAAGACACAAATACATGTAAAATCATATTGTTACAAATAACCGTTGAGGGCAGCACACACTGAAAGGATGTACTAGTATATTTGCAAAACATTATACTAGTACATTTATATGTGCTACCTAAAAGAAACTAGTGACCGTAACGTCTAGCCATATGGAATGACTATTTAGGATCACGATAACCAAATATACACTACAAGTAGTATTTAGTAAAAATTGTATTTATTTATTTTCATTTTAGAATTACATATATTTGTCACTTATTCGCCAATTAAGCTTATTATGATTAACCTACATATAGGAATTCAATATGAGGGCATAGGTTGAGGTTATAACGAGAATACCGCACGCAAGCTGATTCGACGAAAGCAGACATTCGAAAACGCCCATAATACATACGAACACATCAGAACACATCCGAACACGTCCACAACACATCCGAACATTCCGTACAGTAAATTGTTTTCGATGTCAGTTGTATAACAATGCGTGCAGGTATGGTTGTGAAAGCGACTGACGCGTCGTATTTTCATAAAAGCATACAAATACAAATCATTATCATAACATATGTTGCTAGTATGCCTAAAAAAACTTCGAGCATGGAACATTACAGAGGAGGTACATGCCACAATTGGCTGAAAGATCATCGCATTTGCATAAATAAATATTCACGAGCTTTTCGAAAGCTAACATAATAGTTCTAAGTCGACTGATTCTATCGTTACGAGCTGGACAATGTAATTCAAAGACAGGTCAACGTGTTTTAGGGACATATTTTTTATCAAAGTTCTTTTTTTTTCTTTATTGAGGTCTCAGCAATTTACAAAATTCAAGAAGAATGCAGAGGCACGTCGAGATTTACTCTCGTACTATTGCTAAAAATTGCGCACAATGTTTTTAATATT